TAGGAGCTAAAATGAGAATAAAGGAGCTAAAAGCTAAAATGAGCATACAGGAGCTAAGAGCTCAAATTAGCATAGAGGAGCTAAAAGCTGAAAGTCGCATAAGACAGAAAAAGTAGCTGAAGCAGATTCCAGAGAGATTTGAATGCAAGCAAAGCTAAACGGTTCGGAAAGTCTAAAAGTTACAAATGGTTCCCCGTCAGCTGAACGTTCGTGTAAAAAGCGGGTCAGGCAGGCGAAGAACCCACCTGAGGGGTCCTGAAGGCCGACTACGGTCGATAAGTCCCTGAAACACACAAACCCAGATGACGAGCGTGAAGCAGAGAGCACAGGGACTTGAACGCTCGGCGTGGCGGTTACCACTCGGTGCAGTCGTCCAGACCGAACATCAGCTTCATGGTGACCAAGATGGAGGCGGCGGTCCGCAGGTCGGGGCGCGGCAGGTCGGGGCGCCGCTTTGAGTTTAACGGGTCGGCGGCGGCTCCCGCTCGCTCCATCAGCCCGCAGACCCACCTGTGCAGCTCATCTGATGGCAGACAGAGACAGGAAATTACATCAGTGGTGCTGGTACCGGTCCACGGGACAAACGGGTGAAGGAGGAGTAGTTACCGGGAAGATTGGCGTCCGTCAGGTAACGCAGGCAGAGCGCCGCCGGCTGGAGCAGAGACTGAGGGTGGACCGGAGGGAGAGCGGGGAGGTCCAGGAACAGAACCAGATCCTGAGCCTCCAAGTGGACCGAGCTGTAGGACGGGATCCTCTGCAGAAACAAGAACGAGTCCAGTCCAGAGGTTGACCCATCGCTTGGTCTCAATGCTGAGTCAGCAGATTTTAGTTTGTGAACATTCTGAACGACGTCTGCAGACGATCTTTCAATTTAATTTATTTATAAAGGTCCAAGTCACAACAGAATCGTCTCAGGCACTGAGCAGAAACATTCATGTATAAAATAATAATTTAAGAGAAACATTCATCTATAAAATAATAATTTATCAGAAACATTCATGTATAAAATAATAATTGAACAGAAACATTCATGTATAAAATAATAATTTAACAGAAACATTCATGTATAAAATAATAATTTAACACAAACATTCAT